GTTGGCGCAAATCACAATCCAGGTCTGACTTCTTCTGATCGTATTCTTAGTGGATTAACGGATGAACAATGGACCCAACTTGTTCAGCTCGTTCATTCTGCTAAACAGGACAGTAAGTCGCCTGGTAAGCGAAGTTTATATGCCTGGATGTATGACTGTGGTGCTTCTCATCATATGACTGGTTTTTTGGAATTTTTGTCTGATGTTCGGGACATACCTGCTCGTCCAGTTCAGTTGCCAAATGGGTCTTTGACATCTGCCAGTAAATTGGGCACTGTTTATTTGGGGTCGTCTATTGTTTTACATGATGTCTTATTTGTACCCAGTTTGCAGTGCAGTTTAATATCATTATATCAATTGCTACGTACGACCGGTTGTACGGCTCACTTTACAGATAAGTTTTGTGTCATTCAGGATTGCACTTCGAGGATGGTGACTGGAGCGGGTGAGCAGATAGGGGGACTATACTTCTTCCGGGGGACAGTTTCTGCTGCAACTACTCGAGTGGTCAAGGTTTCTGCTGATTTGTGGCACCAGCGGTTAGGACATCCGTCGCATCGAGTTTTGTCACATTTACCTTTCGTTGATTCTCGTTTGTCTGCTTTGAATAAACCATGTGATGTCTGCTTTCGGGCAAAACAATCTAGAGACAGTTTTTCCCTTAGTCATACTGTGAGCACTGGAATTCTTTATTTGATACATTGTGATTTATGGGGCCCCTATCGAGTTCCGACTTTTTGTGGCTCTAGATATTTTTTGACCATCGTGGATGATTTTTCTCGCGGTGTTTGGGTTTATTTACTTGCTGATAAGACGGAGGTATCTTCAGTTTTAATCAATTTTTTTGCTATGGTCCGGCGTCAATTCGGCACATTGGTGCGTGTGGTTCGAAGTGACAACGGTGCTGAGTTTATGTGCATGACTGATTATTTTCGTCGTGAAGGAATTTTACACGAGACCTCTTGTGTGGGTACCCCTCAGCAGAATGGGCGTGTTGAACGCAAACACCAACACATTCTTAATATCGCTCGTGCTTTGCGTTTTCAGGCCCATCTACCTCTTCAATTTTGGGGTCATTGTGTTCTTACTGCTGCCCATTTAATTAATCGCACTCCGTCACGTGTTTTGGATAACAAAACCCCATATGAGATGCTTTATGGAAAGTTGCCTGACTATTCTCGATTGCGTGTTTTCGGATGTTTGTGCTATGTTTATAATCGCGCTCGTCATGGGGACAAATTTGCTAGTTGCAGCCGCCAGTGTATATTTGTGGGATATCCCCTTGGGCAAAAAGGCTGGCGTGTTTATGATTTGGATCGTGAGATTTTTTTTGTTTCCCGAGATGTTGAGTTTATTGAGTCGGATTTTCCTTATGGGACCTCTTCTGCTCCTTCGCCTACTTCGTCCCCCGCTGTTGTTACGTGGCCTCTGACTTTTGACGAGGATGATGATCGTACGTTAGTTGTTCCTCCTGCTGTTGTGGCTGATCCGCCTGTTGTCTCTGACTCTTCTGACGACAGGGGGGCTCTTCAGTTTCGGTTCCTTCCGCATCTACCGAGCTGTTGGGTCGCGGTCATCGCATTCGCCACCCCTCGAGTCGCCTTCGTGATTTTGTTGCGGCCACTGTCTGTCCCCCTAGTCCCTCTGCTGCTCAGTCTGCTTCGTCTTCATCCTCAGGTACATTTTATCCTATCGCACATTATGTTAATTGTGACGCTTTCTCATCAGCCCATAAGTCCTTTTTGGCAGCTATTGATTCCGCAGTAGAGCCTCGTACCTTTGTTGAGGCAGCTTCTGATAGTCGATGGCGCACGGCAATGCAAAATGAAGTCCAGGCTCTCGAGAACAATGGTACTTGGGAGGTGGTTTCCCTTTCTCCCGGGAAACGTGCTATTGGCTGTAAGTGGATTTATAAGATTAAATATCGATCTGATGGTTCTATTGAGCGCTATAAAGCGCGACTTGTGATTTTAGGTAACAATCAGGTCGAAGGCATTGATTACCATGAGACCTTTGCTCCTGTTGCCAAAATGGTTACCGTGCGAACCTTCTTAGCAGTTGCAGCAGCTCGCCATTGGGAGGTTCATCAGATGGATGTTCACAATGCCTTTCTTCATGGTGATCTGGCTGAGGAGGTCTACATGAAACTTCCCCCTGGATTTCGTTCTGGTGATGATGGCCGTGTGTGTCGTTTGCGCCGTTCTTTGTACGGTCTGAAGCAGGCCCCACGTTGCTGGTTTGAAAAACTAGCAACTTCTCTCCTTCGGTATGGATTTTCTCAGTCACATTCTGACTACTCGTTGTTTACCTTGCATCGTGGTTCTGTGCAGTTGCACGTGTTGGTCTATGTTGATGACCTCATTGTCTCTGGTAATGATCCGACCTCCATCGTGGCCTTTAAGAGTTACTTGAGCCGTTGCTTTCACATGAAGGATTTGGGTCTTTTAAAATATTTTTTGGGCATTGAGGTTGCTCGCAACGATTCGGGCATTTTTTTGTGTCAACGGAAATATGCTCTGGACATCATTTCCGAAGCTGGCTTATTGGGTGCCAAGCCCGCGGCGTTTCTGCTGGAACAGAATCATCGTCTTCTTGATGATGATAGTCCTCTTTTGGACGATTCGGAGGCTTATCGGCGCTTAGTTGGACGTTTGATTTACTTGGCAGTTACGCGCCCTGAGTTGTCTTATTCAGTACATGTTCTTGCTCAGTTTATGCACCAACCTCGGCGAGCGCATTGGGATGCTGCTTTGCGTGTTGTTCGTTACTTAAAGGGATCTCTTGGGCAAGGCATTGTGCTTCGCTCTGACTCTGATCTTCAACTCTCTGTTTGTGTGATTCTGACTGGGCGACATGTCCCCTTACTCGTCGTTCACTCAGTGGCTGGTTTGTTCAGTTAGGCCAGTCTCCTATTTCTTGGCGTACCAAGAAACAACACACCGTGGCGCGCTCTTCTGCTGAGGCTGAGTATCGGGCTATGGCCACAGTCATTTGTGAGCTTAAATGGTTGAAAGGGTTACTACACAGTCTTGGTGTGTCTCATTCGCAGCCTGTGCGTCTTTTTTGTGATAGTAAGGCTGCCTTACATATTGCTGCGAATCCCGTATTTCATGAACGGACTAAACATATTGAGGTAGACTGCCATTTCATTCGTGATGCACTTGCTCAAGGCCTTGTGTCCGCATCTCATGTTTCTACTCATTCTCAGTTGGCTGATCTTTTTACCAAGGCACTTGGCAAGCGCGAATTCGATTTCTTTCTTCGCAAGTTGGGCATTCGGAACCCCCATGCTCCAACTTGAGGGGAGGTGTTGATGTGATCTTAGTGTATATTTCCTTTTGTACCCTTGTTTAGTTAGTTTCTTGGAGAAGAAGTTTATTTCTCTTGTAACCCTAATTGACTTTATATATATGTGAGGGTTGTGTACGAGACGATCAGATTTGATGTCTCGCTCAATGTATTCTTCTTCTTTCTGCTTTGTCAGACTTGTAGTTGAATTTGAATATGATGATTAAGGGAGAGGATTATATTCTATAGAAATAATTAATTTCTTAATTAGCACAAATGATCAATAATCTGAAGTGATCAGGTACGGAAATGTGAGAGAGATATGGTTCGACGGGGCAAAGGGGTCGAATGAGCCAAACATGACGTATTTTTTCGAAGACTGGTTTTCAATGGTGAAGGAGTTGCAGAGCTCGATCAACATATTTTCCGACGCGGGCCCGGACGTCCGGTGGGTCGGGAACGAGAAGGGCTACGCGGGAAGCACTTGCTGGTCCACCATCAACGCCACCTCGTTATCCATAGGCAAAGCTAGCATTCTTGGGTAAGTAGCATTAATGCAAAAACCCATACCCATTTTATTTGAGTGATTATTATGTTAGTATGATTAATGGGAGATTCTACGGTCCCGTTACAGAACCATTCAGTCGGGGTTTGTAACCGTTAGATCAACTATCCACTGCGGTTACATGATGATGTAACGGTTACAAATCGCGATGGAATGGTTCCGAAATTGTAGCATTTCCCTGAATTATGAACTATATATTTAAGTAATATTTTTTTGCCAGTTATCTCAACACTGGGGACCCAAGAGGGACGAATTGGCTGCCAGCAGAATGTGATGTATCCATCAGAGAAGGTTGGTTTTGGCATAAATCACAAGAGCCCAAAAAACTAAGTGAACTGCTACAAATTTACTACAACTCCGTGGGTCGAAACTGTGTTCTGCTACTAAACGTGCCGCCAAACACGACCGGTTTGATATCCGAATCCGACGTACAAAGACTGAAACAATTCAGAGGAGCAATCGACACGATATTTTCCTCTAATGTGGCCGAAAACTGTTTGCTCGAAGCAAGTAGCCAACGTGGGAGCAGAGGTGGAGGCTTTGGGCCCGAAAATGTTTTAGACGACGACCACTTGTGGACCTATTGGGCCCCGAGGGAGGAAGATAAAGAAAACTGTTGGATTGAGATGAGATCCAAAAGTGGAAAGGTTAAGTTCAATGTGATCAGGATCCAAGAGGCAATAGGGTTAGGGCAGAGGATCATGAAACACGAGATTTACGTTGACGGGATAAGGGTCGCGAAAGGGAGCACGGTCGGGTATAAGAGACTTCACAGACTTGAAATGGGAGTTGTGAATGGGTCTAGTGTGAGGATTAAGATTGTTAAATCAAAGGGAGTGCCTTTGATTTCCTCTTTGGGGCTCCACTTTGATCCCTTTTGGAACACAAACTAGCTTTCCACATTATATTTCTCATGTTAAGGATGTTTGTTCATGTGTACCCAAAAGCCAATAATCATTGAATGACTGAATAATATTGGGGACTAGAAGTGATAAGTATCATACGTTTTCATAAAACTCGAGCATTATAAAAATTGTAACAATACACATTAAATTTATTCTCCATTCTTGACATAGAAACAAGTAGAAAGGCAAGCTCTAAAAGGAAACAAGTGATCACACTGGTTTCAAATGAGTAAAAGCATAGTAATGTGATTATTCTATTTTGTATTTATTTCTTCATTTGATTTGTTGATCATCCTGGAAGTAGCACGAAGATGGAGGCCTCCATCTATCTGCAGAGTCAACATGGTTCGGTAATTCACCGGTTTTGTCTCGTCGGCTAACTTAAATGAAAAGGCACTTAACAACACAGCAGCAATAACTTTCATCTGTCTGTATGCAAACTCCTTCCCCAGACAGATTCTTGGGCCAGCCTGCAGTAGCAGATAACCGATTATTGCACATTATTATTCTCGAAAAAATAATGCACATTTTTTTTAGTAATCGAGTGAGTCAGCGTACCTGAAATGCTGTGAATTTGAAAGAGCTCTGTTTCTGAAAGACACCATTTTCATCGAGCCATCTCTCGGGCCGAAACTCCTCTGCATCCTCACCCCACAAAGATTTCATCCTTCCCATAGAGTAAGGTACGTACGACACCAAATACCCCTTCTTAACACTGAACCCGTCCGGGAATGTATCGTCTGCAAAACACATCTTTCCATCCTAGAAAGTTCCACACAAAATTTAAAAAATCCAAAAAAAAAAAATTAAAATGATGTTAATGATTATAATTTGCAGACTACACTATCTTGTAGTATATATTTACTAAATTTCCAGATTAGTACCGATGGAATTGACGGATATAGCCTCAGAGTTTCACTAAGAGCCGCGTGCAGAAGGTGCATTCTATCGAGTGCTTCCTCGGTAAAACTTATTGCTATCTCGTCAATGCTTGAACTCTCGTCCAGCTTTGCTGCCTCCCTAACTTCCTTGACGAGCTTTTCTTGCACGGTTGGGTGCTTGCACATCAAGTAGAAAAACCACGAGAGGCCACTTCCCGTGGAATCCTTACCGGCAATTATAAAACTCAGTATTATGTCCTTGAGGTATTTGGGGTCCTTTTGGTCCATTTGCAGAAACCTCGACAGTATATCACTCCTGTTCGTCTGCTGTTCATTCCAAAACACACATTATGTCGATTTTCTTCATTAAAAAAAAGCATAATAACTTTATTTCTTAAAAAAAAAAATATCTGACTTGGTTGGGCTTGCTCATCTGTTCCATCTTGCTCTCGATGACCTTGTAAACGAATGCATCGACGATTTTGATGCATTCCTTGAGTGTGGCTTCAGACCCGATGTTTAAAAATTTCTTGATCGGCCATAACATGTCTATGTAACGATAACATGTAATCTCACTAGCTTTGTCAAAAGCCTCTGAAAAATGTGAACCATCATTCGTCCCGCACGTGCTGTCCAGGTCGACACCCAGAACAACCTTGAAGACCGTGTCCAGTGCCGATTTCATCAACAATGCCTGCAAATCAGACATTTACAGTTTTATTTATGATGATTGAATAAGATGATTATTATTAACTAGAAAAACAGAACGTATGTACGTAGTGACCTGGATTTCAATAATTTGATTCGAATTCGCAGCTGCCGAAATAATGTGGGCTAAATTTGCGGCAGTCGACTTGAAGACGCCACTGCTAAAGTCTCTGAGGTTTCGGGTCGAGAATTCGTAACTGGACAACTTCCTTTGCTGTCGCCATTTTTCACCATCGACTGTGAAGATACCATCTCCTAGAAGGCTCTCCAAGACATCGTGGTGAAGCGAACCCTGCAATTTAGTCAACGTACATTTCACCATATTTGCAGCTAGAGAACATATTGACTACCGATAAAGCATATATATACCTTTCCGTAGTTTGCAAAGTTGGTCTTGAGGAAATACTCGACATTCGCAGGATCCGAAGTGTAAATTTCGGTGTTGTTGAGGTAAAGTATTCGGAAAGTGGTGTTTTTGTGAGTGAGGTCTGTAAGATAGTCATAGAGCCTGTTGAAATTGAGGATGAGGTGAAAAATGGTGCACCCAACAGGATGGTATCTCTTCTTATCCTTCTTCAAAAGCACCATCTTTATCAGAAATGCTGCAAAAACTGCTGCCAGTGCTGGAAAAATTAAAGGGTTAATATTCAAGAAATCCATCTTTTTTGCTGCAGATTCTACACACCAATGTTGTTTTCTCTTTTACCACATGCATGCATAGTTATGCCTATTTAGGATTTATTTACGGAGAATGCTACAATCCCGTTACGGGATGGTTTCGTTGTATTTTTTTAACCATAGATTATCTAAACATTACTAAATTACATGTATATCTACAGCTACAAAATACAACGGAACAATTCGGTAACGGGATGATAGCATTCCCATTTATTTATTTATTTTATTTTGGTAAGGTATAGTAACGCGTTTTTGCAAGTGCTTAACTGAGAAGTAATAAATGAAGACTTACTAATTATGTGTAGGAAAGTGCTGATAGAGCTAGGGTGTGTTTGGTAAAACTAGCTGATAAGCTAGCTGATAGCTGATAAGCTAGCTTATAGCTTATATGTGATAAGCTAGCTTAT